ACGTTTCGATATCCCCAACACATAGCTGCCAGATGATAATATGAAGGGTACCGCAGCTTTATGTACTCGACCGTTGACAGACAAGCTGATATCACGCCTGTGCCTCAGGTGATGCAGGTTCACAAATGCTGATCTAGCCTTCCCAATCCGCATGTGATGTCGTCTTTGGCTGAACCACCGGGAGTGGCAGAGCTACCCAGATAGACAAATTTGTCTACTACCTCAATCGGTTCATTTGCAACCATGAGGTTAGCGTTCGATCCCACCGATTTACGGTCTTGTTAAGCCTAACCACCGGGTTCAGGACCATCCAGGTACCGGATGGTCGTTTTAATTATCCTATGACCGACAATCGTCGTTGAAATTAGATAAAATGTATACAGCTATTTCGCTATACTTTGCGAGCATCAATTCAAGCCGTCCACGGCACTTTGTTGCTTCTACTTTAAATGTGGTTGTCCAGGTCTGAATGATTCGTCCAAACTACACGTGACGAGCTCCCCAACTGACCGTTATTTTACTTATAAGCCCTATGAAGCTCCCAGTGCGTTTACTCGTGAACTCTGCCATGTGACGTGACACACGAGCTATCAGGAAAGTCAGCTTCCTGAAAGCAACCACTGAATGCCCGGAATCTACGGAGACTCTCAGCTCCGCTGGGTGTTGACCAGACAGACAACGTCCCCTCAAAATGCAGTGCGTCGCAGCCTTGTATCAAACCCAGACAGGGCGAGTCAGCGTTGATAAAGGTCAGACAACGCCCCCGCAATATGCAGCACGCTGCAGCCAGACCGTGTGCGTCAGCATTGGACCGAGTTCAGACAGTGCCCCTCCAATAAATAGCTTAGGACCGTTGTACATTCGCACTCGCACGCACTCACGCTCTCGCACCCACTTTGTTGGAATATAGCTGTTGTGTTCCTTTCCGTGAGTCTTTTCTCTCCGACACTGGGCACTGGAGCGGGCTCAGCAGAGATCCCTCAGATTGGCGAATCAGCAGGTATAACACGAGCGTTCGATAGTACATCGCTGCAGAGCCGTTGGGCTTTTGTCCACTGTAGAGTCGCCTGGTGAAAGCAATACTCCGAATATCGATTTAGTCTATCACCTCACCGTGCGGACGAAAGTTCTGTGTGTATGTGAGGTCGCTAGTTACATTCGCTTGCACAGTGTTAGACGATGAGAACTGCCGCAAAATCTGACTGCAGTCAGTCGTAGTGGGATAGCATTTTTCGCAACTGACACCGAGCACCACAGCATTCAAGTAGCAATTTAACAAACTGAGGGTGTTGTACCACTTCCTATGGAAGCGTGCAGCGATTCTAGAGGTAATTTCATCTAAAATTCGTTTCCAGCAAAAAATGAAGATGGGTTGTCGTCAACGTCTGTAGTGACTTTATGTTGAATCTTTTCGAGGACTGGATACAAGTTTTGTTTATGTGGACTTGGCTGTTCGCGAGCCACAAGAAAGAGACTATAGACGTAAAGTACTACTCATAAGGTTGCTGAAAACCCTTCGACAGCGCACGACCGGTTTCACCATTCCTGGGGCTATTCAGGTAGGCGCAATCCCCTAGTTTCCATAGAAATTATGTTACCCTTGAACCCAAGCAACATAAACGAGAGATTCAGCTGGGTCCCACGTGTGTCTCCGTCAAAACCAATCTTATATGCATATAAGTATATTTCGCTAAAAGGACGTATAGTTTGTTGTACAAAGCCGATAGAGTGTTCATTCTGGATGGATATGTCTTCTAATCGTTTACATTCGAATTTTAACTTGTCGCCCGAACATGTACTCACTACTCTATCGGCAAAGCAGCGTATGCTATTCCTCCTCTGTGAAACCCAAATTTCCGCTAGCTTGATTTTGATTACCAATACCGCTGAGTTGATTCGGGAAGAACGTGAAACTACATTTAAGAATATGCGGCCCAATTCATTTCGGCATTTTAAAATGCTGTGGTATAGTTTTCACACCAGCGGAAGCAAAGGCAGTCTAACAGGCGTCGTCAAACAGTTACACTTATCAGTGGTAGAATGACTGAACGAAATACCAGACCGAGGTCAGGATGCTGAAAAGTGGAGAAGCACATGGCGCTGTCTAAACGTCAACTTCAGTATCGATTGTTCAGTGCCTTCTGAAGTTCAGCGTACTGGTGAAAGGAAGAAAGCATTCGCTGCGTAGTTGTTTATTAGAAAATGCCAGCTGACCAGTTACAGACTATTAGACAGGGAAGCAAAACTCTCATATGCATCTTGTTTACAAAAACTGAATATCCATCTTCTCTGTGAACGCGTCAACCTGAACTTTTCTGGATATTCATTGACTGTTGTTCAAATCCAAGCAAATGCTACAATGCGACTCCACAAATTCCGCAACAGATCTCACTTTTCAAGAGACGCAAAGCGAATTTACAAGAAGATATACTATTCGCATGACTCCCTCATCAGTAGTGTCACTGTTACACTAGATCAGTATGGTGGTCACGGAATCCGGACGGAAACCAACTATTGAGTATTTGTGACGAGCCCCAGTTGGACGGATATACCGCTGAGAGATCGGTCGCGCAACTTCGGTGGTCTTCTCCGATCGGTCTGAGGTTCATATTAGGGGGAGTTCCCTTCCAGTCTACTCCACTTGTACGCCTCTCGTTAACCTACGGAATGGAAATTTTACTGGGTGTTTCCTTTTCCCTTGTTTTATTTGGCGTAACTTTTTGTCGACACAGCAGAAAATTTGCTTGGTCCAGCTTACGCGCCTGTGCCAGTGCTATCTTTTAATCGCTCTATCGATTCCATGCACGCCTCGATGATTGGCTACTTTCAAGACGCTGACGGCCACGCTGAATCATCGTTCAGCGAACTGGGTGTTTTTATGAGAAATACATTCATTTGCAAATCAATTTGGTTTGCAAATTGAGTGCATCTCTCGGAAACAGTGCAATTTGGGTTCAAGTAGAACATAGGGTTGACGGAAACTCGGGGACTGTGCCTACCTGATGAGTCCCAAGAAGGGCGAAACTGGGCTGTGGAAGAGTTTCCAGCAAGCTTGTGAGTAGTTTCCTTTATGGGTGTTTTTCTTTGTTGTCTATTCGTTGCTCAGATCCGATTTCCGTTACCCTCTTCCACGTTGTGCGTTGTCTTTTCGTGACGGACATTTCAACCGAATAAGAATAGATGTCACAAGGTGCACGGTCACATAGGTGGCTAGCGTTAGTGTTCGGTATCCAAGCTTTGACCATTTGGGCGTTTGCGCTGTCGCAACACCGTAGCAACTGGTCTGATTGTGACTGATTCGTCTGGAGTCAACTATAAAACAGTCAAAACACAAGATGGTTACCATGGTAGCTGCACTGCTGCCCATTTAAGATGTTAGATGTAATGGCAACTAAACTCATTTGGAAATTTTAAATTCAGAACAGTATAGTGGATTATGATGCCATAATCTGACGTTTCGGTTACCATGAGCAACCTCTTTCAACAGTCAATTGACTAGGGTACAAGTTAAGCGTCATCTGGGTTCGTTATCATGTCTAATGGTTGCTGTGGTCCTATGATTTGTGTGTGTGTTCATGCGTGTTCACATCTTGATTAAGTTGTGCCTCCGTTTGTTATTCTGCTGGCTGTGATGTGTCATTGTTGAGATTTTTGCTCGATATCTGGTGTCCACAAATAAGGTCTCCAGTGTCTGTGGCGCTACCTGACCGAAAAGTCCTGGTAGGCGGGTCATTCGATCGATACAACCAAGGCATGCCACCGTGTCTTCATTCGAGGCGTCAGGCTTATCTCTTACATCACCCCGTTCACCTGTTCAGGCGTGATGGTTCAGGTATGTTCGACGTGTGCTGGTGGTGTAGTGGTAACATGCTCGCCTTGCATATCAGATGTGCTGGGTTCAAACCTCGACACAGCCAAGGATAGGCATTCTTTCTGAGCACCCTTGTCCCTCCCCCTTGGAGCGGACTCATCAAAATGATTGTTCCAGGGCAGGAGGACGACCGTTCAAACGTGAGTGATGTGAGCGTACATTCTACGTTTCCCACAATCACCCACGACTAAACTAGCTACTCTGCCTACTAAGGTGTGCAGTTAGTCCAAGCCAAATAGACGGGATTAAGGAGTTAGCTGTATTCGGTGTGCTGGTCTCAAGGGCTTCATCACAAGCCCATTCCACGTGTGGCTTGAATCCGCATGGTGCACCACCTGATTCTCGGTCTTTTTAACGCTATCTGAGCCGAGTTTGGTTCGGAACTCCTAAATCCTCTTGACTCAATTTACAACGGAGATGAGAGGTCAAAGTTCATAAACTATAGAACAGTTCCTAGAATTTTTGGTCGGTAGAATGTTGTCTCACCCAGTAGGTCTTGGGTACACAGTAATTTGGTGCATTTCTTCGGAAGCGTCCATATTTGCTACGTGAGAATGCACTGAAAACCCAACTCATGAACTAGCCAGATTTTTGGAAATTACTCTAAAATTCCTCACCGGAAAGTTTAGTACTTACGTCATTCATTCATACGACTTTGCCAACAAAGTAGCGCGTGTCACCGTGGAATTATACAACATTCTTGTAAGTTTTGATGTCTATTCGTTGTATACAAATGTGTCAAAGTGGGACCCTTTAAAAATAGACAAGCAACTGCTACTAAATGAAATCACCCTTTCAGAACAGACACAGCTTACGGTAGTGAAAGGTATAGAAGCGTGAATGAGTATCGCTCACTTCGTTTATAAATCAGTGGTTTACACTCAAGAACAAGGCCCAGCAATGGGATCTCCAGTGTCCTCGGTTTTGGTAAATATATTTATGGAAGAATTTGAATAGAAAGCTCCAGGCGGATTCCCATACCCACCCAAGATGTGTATGGTATAATGTGGGTTACACTTCCGTCGTGATGACAAGATCAGTGAGTTTTACAACTGTCTGAATGAACGGAGTCCACAGATCAAATTTTATATGGAGATAGAGTCAACCTCGGGTATACTGGCCTTTTTAGACTTCGGGACACATAAGTTCGAGGGGAAACTGAAGACCACAGTGTACAAGAAGCCAATCGACACTGGGGCAGTTTTGAACTACTCGTCTGCCCATCCGAAGTCGGTATTCACCAGTATTGCCTCATCAATGTTTAGCCGCGTAAGGGACTCAGAGGCCTCAACTTGAATAAAAGTACAAACATCCCTGTAGTGGATACCCAGCTAGTTGAATTAAGCGTCATTTACAAAGGGCGTTAGTATCGGTGGCAAAACCCAACATGGAATGGATCGGAACCTACGTTATTCCATATAAACCGGGGACATCGGACGTCGTTCGAGGAATTCTAAACACGGCTAACATAAGAGTAGCTTTCCAGAGAGGAAACACTCTGCGCTGTGCACTGGTACAATTGAAGGATCGCCTTCCGGCAAACAGAACCAGGGATTGTGTCTACAAAATTGGCCAAACTGAACAGATTTCGGTCTATACAGAACAGACGGTCATGGAACTTCACACCAGAGCGAACGACATAGGAGAAAGATAAAAATGCCACCGAGGAACGCAGATGAATGTCAAGCCTTACTGAAGGACTCAGTAATGGCGGAACATACACTGGACACGGGACACAACACAGATCTGGAAAATGTTGAAGGTTTAAGGCGGGGACTACGGTCCACGCCACAGAGGCAACCAAAATTACCCATAAGGAGTTCTTCGATTGCGTCACGATGTCCACCCCATACTCCAAAACTCAGTAATGCGGAACATACACTGGACACGGGACACAACACAGATCTGGAAAATGTTGAAGGTTTAAGGCGGGGACTACGGTCCACGCCACAGAGGCAACCAAAATTACCCATAAGGAGTTCTTCGATTGCGTCACGATGTCCACCCCATACTCCAAAAAGTTTTCCAGTAAGCTTGTTTCAATCACCGGGGTGTTGCTCATCTACACAAACTAATCAATAAATTGTCATGTTGACCAGGATGGGATAGTCTTTCCAAAAATAACTATCTTCATCCAGGACACTGCTATTCCACGATATGTCAGAATAAATTTGTTTCACGACTTTGTTGGTATACCTCTACCTCTACGGTGAACATCTCCCAACACCAGAAAACAAAGTGGTGCCTGGAAACACCATAAACGAGGTATTCAGCTGGGGTTTCAGGTGAGTCTCTCGCAAAACTAAATTTGTTTGCAAATGAGTGTATTTTGCTGATTCCGTGCAATTCAAGTAGAACATAAGGTTGATGGGGACTCGGGGACTGCGCCTACCTGATGAGCCTTAAGAAGGGCAAAACCGGTCGTGGACTGTCGAAGAATTTTCAGCAACCTTATGAATAGTGCATTGCGAATATACACGTATCGCGATATCTTGATATCGTAGCGACTGAAACATGAGGCGGCCTGGTGCAACACATTCAGTTGCCTGGAAACATCACAAACGAGAGATTCAGCTGGGTTCCAGGTGAGTCTGTCGCAAAACCAAATATGTTTGCAAGTGAGTGTATTTGGCTGAACTGGTGCCAGTTTTTTTTGCGTGTTGTGTTTCACCAGAGTTGTAAACACGTCATAATGGATGATTGTTCTAATTCGATTAGATCTCATCATGCCAGTCATCCTGGAGATCTTCAAGAACAGTGAGGCTTTTCGGTCACCTTGTGAGTACTGTCATAAGCCGACTCGGTTCTTTACAAAGGTGAGGTCCATTAAGTGTGAGGAACGTGTGTTTGTGGCGAACTAGGTGAAGCTAATAAATTGTAGCTTTAAGGTGAGTCACCAACTAGGTATGTTTTCAATTCAGACTGTTACCGAGTACATCTCCGTATAGTGTTTGTAGGTTAAGAATCTCACGGTGGACCATAATATGATGAGATTTTCCACAGACTACGCAATTCAGACCTAACATACTACTTAAAAAGCTACTGAAAACTCTTCGACAATCCACAACCAGCTTTGCCCTTCTTGGGGATCATTAGGTAGGGAGAACCCTCAAAGTGCCCTTTCAATCAACCATATGTTCTACTTGAACCCAAACTGAACAGATTTCGGCAAATTCTCTGATTTACAGTAGATCAGCTTGAAGCAGACCGTCATAAACGAGAGATTCAACTGGATTCTGTCAAAGCCTAAGTTGTGCGTAAATGGAAGTATCTGTCGAGGACTGTGGTGATTTGTTTTGAAAACAGAGTTCCTCTTCATAATCTGTACAGGATTAAGTGGTTTCTCAAGAACCGCTTGTCTGTTTAATCGATTTCCTCATTGGGTTAGCCAAATCATTAGCAACTCCCCAGTACATGTCTGCCTTGGTCCCAAGATTCTTACGGATTCGATCTGCTGAGCTGACCTCTGTCTATCACTGGGACCTTTATTCTCTAAATTCCTGAAAAATAAATTTCCTAACCTCTAGCTGACTCAGTTTTTCTCGACTTGTCAACCTAGAACGTTTGTTTTAGTGCGCTAAAGTTTGTGTTCGATTCTCTGTGCCATTTGGTCCAAGGAAAAGAAAGTTCGCCTCTCTGGACCCAAAGAAAAAACTTGACGGCCTAAGTAGTGTTCGTCTAATGGTCAGAAAATCATCAATGTTTGACGAATCGGATCAAGGATGGCTAGAGGCACTTTGTGTGACGTAAAGCCACTCGACAGTGAATCAGTCGATAACGAGCCCAGCGCTGAAAAGACTAAATCACAACTGTCCATTTTGCAGACACGTGGATTAGCGGACTAAATAGACGAAACTTGGATTGCATCGAAGTTCCGAGGTTTCCCTGTTATAGACATCAAAGGTGACGAATATCACAATCGTTTCACGTTGGATGATTGTGGAGGGTAAGCTACTGCTTTTAAAGTAACGATGAACGTCCGCATGTCGGACGGCAACGAAGGACGCATTCGTATTGCCCAGAAGGCTCGGAAAATAGGAGAATGAGTAAAACTGTGAGAACATTCGTTCAAAGTCCGGACCAGAAAGTTGAACCAAACGGTTTCAGTGTGAAAACCGGGTTGAAAAGTGGTCGCGAAAAAAAACATTCTTGCAACTTGATAAATGTTTATACATGAACGGGAAAGATGGTGTGATAACGAGTTTGAAACAGCAGACACCTCAGACAACGAGTCAGCAAAAACGCCGACTTTCAATTGTGCTGATTTATAAGATTGTCCATGAAATAGGCGAAGTTTTTTTCGGCACCCATTCTACTCCCTCTTCGGAAAAAGTGACAAGTTGATGACAACATCAACAAAGATGGAGCTGAAATTTCGGAAGGCATGATTCTCCAGTCAAACTGGCAGTCGAATGCAGACGGCGTGCGGCTAAAATTCAAATTTCTCAATCAATATTTGGACGTGTTACAAACCGGATCGAACCCACTCTCAGCGGTTGTTTGTTCAGTTTAGTCGAGCAAGAATGCAATCCGTCCCATAGGTGAGGACGGTGTCCTTTGCACGTTCACACCACTCTGATCAGTCTGTCGACCGTGAGGGAAAGTGTGAATGAATTAGACCTCAAACGGGTCGGTATAATTCAATCGCAGTGCAACAAAGAGCATCGTCTCCGCTCAAATCTCCACCGGTATTGACACTGTCCGCGGTGCCCTATCTTGTAAGAGCTGAAGTTAACACGGATATTTAGTAGATATTTCGTAGTGTAAGCTCGCATACCAGGAGATGCATATTACTAATGTACTTTTGAGTCTTTAGTTCATAACACGATGACTTGTTTATCTTCTGCTACTTTTGTAGAAATGCACTTACCAATGTTTTCTATAGAGGAAAATGTTGGTATGTGCGTGTGTAATACACGTGCTGCTAGCAGGGGATGGCCTTTGGTCGCGATTAGTTGTTCGGTCGGGTGATTCCATTGGTTGCTCCGTTTGCCTGTATCCCCATTCGCCGATGCCCACGAACAAGCCACCAGACGGGTAGTCCTGCGTTACATCAAGAATATATCAGAACTCGCGACCAGATTATTGGCTCAAAAAGGAATACTTGTGGCCCACAAACCGAATGCCACCCTGAGGAAATTAATCTCTAGACCGAAGGACAACCCGGACAAAACAAAGAAGAACAATGTGATATACCAACTCAACTGCAACAACTGCAACAAATTCTACGTCGGACAAACTGGCAGGAGACTATGCACACGAATAAAGGAACACAACGCGGCCGTCAGGAGGCATGACCCCCTGTCCTTGATATCCATACACGAGGACCAAGAAGGCCACAAATTCAACTTGGAAAACGCAGAAATTTTGGCATACGGACGCACGAGGCACGGAAGAGAATTTCTGGAAGCATGGTACTCGACGGCAAATTCGATCAACCGGTGCATCGAACTGGACCCAATTTACGCACCCCTACGTGCAAAAGACCAACAACTCAACCGGAAAACTCAAGGAAGACCGAATATTGGATTCACAAACAACGAAACAAGGAACTCCTTGGAGGCAAATCAATAAAGGTCACAACCCAGGACTGGAAGGGACAAAGGTCAATCTAGCTTCGACCAGATTACGACGGAGGGGATGCCAAGCTCAAAGGTCACGTGGGCATCGGCGAATGGGGATACAGGACAACGGAGCAACCAATGGAATCACCCGACCGAACAACTAATCGCGACCAAAGGTCATCCCCTGCTAGCAGCACGTATATTAACACACGCACAACACTACCCAACGCACAACCACCAACCCACCGCTACGCACTACTACGCTCCACAATAACGCACTGATGATGTCACCTCGATTGGTGATGAAACGTTTGCAATCAAATTGCCCAGCTCAGCGAACAAGCCAACGACCACCATCTACGATACCTGAGCTACCAACATTTTCCTCTATAGAAAACCAATTCGGGCGTGCAACGCTAAAAGAAGCTCGTCGCTGGGAAAACTTCGCCTGCCGACAAGCCTCTACGCGCGAACAATTACACTTCCTCCATGAATGTCTACGTAGGAACGTGCTGCCACCCAGTACTAATCACAGACCTGCGCTAGACCATCCGCAGGCGTGGGCCCTAGCAAGACAGTATGGCAGACGAATGGTTAAGTTAATGATAACAGATGCCCACAACCGTCTCAAAAAATACGAAAGAGTACTTAATGAGAGCAAGACAAATTGTTTGACTAAAACCAGTCCTCAACACTTGGCAGAACTTGAAGCAGCAATCGGACGCCGAGTAG